CCTGCGCCTTGGGGTCACCGGGAGTTGCGGGGTGGGATGGGGGCCTCGGAGGCAGCGGAGGCCGAGTGAGCGGAGGGCTGGTGGCCCTTCGGGACCTCCCTCCGAGGCCGGCGCTGTAGTCCCTGAGCCCCGCTGGTTACATGGACAGAAGAATCTTCGGATGGAGGGAGGGGTTGTTGGCCAAGGAAACCTTATTGTGCGTCAAATGGCCTCAGGGTTTCTTGTCAGCACCCCAAGATGGAGGGAGTGAGAAGCCCAGAGAGGTCATTGGGAGATACTTTAGGGGTAGGATAGACGGGGCACCTGGGGCGGCATGGAGTGGGGGCACCTCCTTTCTTCCTTCCTCCTAGGAGGGTGTTCATCCCTCTTCATGTTCATCGGCTTAGAGCCGAGGCTGCCGGGGGCATTTCTGTTGGGCCTGCTGGTGTGGGGTGTGGGGACTCGGGGTGGGAGGCCCTCCCAGCAGCCTGCCCACCACACCTCCCTGGCTGCCCTGTGAGTGGCCTGAGTCTTGGGCCCTGCTCACCATCCGGGTCGCCTGTGAGCATATTAGAATTCACTGGGCTTTGTTCTTTGTAGGAATCAAAGCTTGACTCCCATTTGAGGACAAACAGGCCTACAGTTAATTCCTGGTGTGATGAGAAGGTGGGATTTGCTGTCCTGGATAAGAAAAGCGAGTCCGTAAGGGAGGGCCCTGACTCTTCATCAGCGACAAGAGAGATGGCAGCCTTACATTCTGGGGATAAGAAGAGGGTCCTTCCCTCCTGGATGACAGCCCAGGGGCCTGAGGAGAGAATGTGGCCGGTGAAGACCCCGAAGAGGAAGCGGAGGAGGATGGCCGCGGTGCCGGCGGCTGCAGCCAGGTGGGACACCTTGGAGCCTGGGTCATGCAGTGTTGGCAGATCCGTGAGGTGGGCGGGGTTTCAGTCGTCTCCAGCTCTTAGGAGGTGCACGGGCTGCGTGCAGGAGGCTGAGTGAGCTGTGTCCACCCAGGCAGACGCCTCTGCCTCTTGGTGAATCTGCAACTCCCAGATAGTGGCCCCCTTCTCGGGTCACACGCATCAGCCAAGCTGTCAAACACCAGGTGGCTAAAATGCCCTTCTCTTCATTTGCAACAATAAGTGTGACCATCAGGTGGGCAAGATGAGTGGGCCAGGCCATCAGCCTCCCTGTGGGCAGACCTCCTGGGACAGGAGCAGCAAGCCCCTGTGTCAGCCCGGATCAGAGGCTGTGGGTGAGCCGGTGGGATGATGCCAACTGTGGGGTCGTGAGGCCGCCAGGGAGGAGAGGTCCCTGAACGCTCCTGACGGTCCCGGGTGCTCAGTGCTGCCCCTCTGCCCTTCCTTTTATAAGGTTTCTTACCTGACCAGCCTCCCTCTCTGACTGCACAGCCTTTCCATACTGTGTTCATGCGTTCAGTTAGGTGTCAGGTGGGTCTTGGCCTGGTGGTCCGTGTGATCAGCTCACAGGTATGTGTGTGTCCGTTTGGCTCTCAGGAGTAGCCATCAAGCCTTATTTGTAAATCCCTGGGGGCGTTGGCAGAGTTGGGAAGCCCCCACTGTTGCCTCCAAGACCCCCCTCTGCCAGTCACTGGTCCCAAGAATGAGGAAGCCGGTTGATGCCCTGAGGAAGCTGGTGCTCTCATCCCCGGCGGAAGGCCCAGGGATGCAGCTCTCCTTCCTCCTTGAGAGACTGGGGAGCCGTCTGCCCCATCTGTAGCATCGTGCCTTTCTTTCAGACTCCCCGCAGTGAGGACTGTGTACTGCATGAGTGAAGCCGAACTTGTCGATGTTGCTCTGGGGGTCCTGATTGAGGTAAAGTCAGCTGTGTCTTTTTAAAAAAATATGTATTTATTTCAGAGAGAGGAGGGAAGAGGGAGAGATAGAAACATTGATGAGAAACATTAATTGGCTGCCTCCTGTACACCCCCTATTGGGAACTGAGCCCGCAACCCGGGCATGTCCCCTGACGGGGAATCAAACCAGCCACCTTTCAGTGCATGGGATGAAACTCAACCGAGCCACAACCTTTGGCTGTTCTTGCTCTTTTAACCACAAACTCTTTACCGACTGAAACAGCCGTGGGGAGCCCTCTTGCGTGTCCGCCCTCCTTCCACTTGTCCCTTGTCTCATGAATCTCTCAGGCCGTGCTCCCCCGCTGTGAGCTGTGCACCAGCCACGTGTTTGGGGCCAGATGCCTGGGGAGGGGTGGCTGGGCAGGGAGAGCACCCTGTGTGGGTGACTGTGTGGGGTGAAGCAGAGGGAACCAGAAGTCTTGACCTGCTAGTGTTCTCAGGTGGGCAAGTTGACTCCTGGCAGAACAGCACTGAGGTCTCCTGTCTTCCTAAAGCTAATAATAATCATACCACCATAGAGTTGGGTGGTTCTGTATGATAGACCAGGCATTTTTATTTTTTTGTTAATCCTCACTCAAGGATATTTCCCCCCATTGATTTTAGAGAGAGTGGAAGAGGGGGAGAGACAGAGAGAGAAACATCAATGTGAGAGAGACACAGTGATTGGTTGCCTCTTCCATATGCCCTGACCAGGGCCAGAATCGAGCCTGCAACCTCAGTATGTGCCCTTGACTGGACTCACATCCGAGACCCTTCAGTCTGTGGGCCAATGGTCTGACCATTGAGCAACCGGCTAGGGCTGACCAGGTATTTTTATCTATCACTATCTCATTTAATCTTTGCCATAATCTGGTGATATGTTATTTCAGATACTGTTATTCCCGTTTTACAGATGAAGAAATTGAGAGGCAGGGACTTTCCCTAAGTTGCATAGCCTGTAAGTGACAGAGTGTAGGCCCACACTCCTTTTGTATCCTGTGCTCCTTCCATTGTCACCTGCCTTCCCAGACAAGTTTTTTCGATGTATTTATTTTCTTTTCTACTTTGGTATTCCTCAGGCCTCTGCCCACTTCTCTCCGAGTTGGTCTTGGTTTCTCCCAGAGCTCTGAGAGGTGGAGGGTGGGCAGCAGTGGGGTGAAGGAGGTGGAGCGGCCACTGATTTGGGAGCCATGCCCGACCTGGTCAATGCTGGCTTCGCAGTTGCTTCTGGACATGGTCTCCACCACTGACAGGTTAGGGAAATAAATTTACACGTTTCGTCTGGTCTTTCTTCACAGAACCGACAACAGGAAAAGGCCTTGGAGCAGCGGCCCCTGGCAGGCACTGCTGAGCCAGAGCTGTCCCCCACCTGCTCGGAGGGGCCGGCTTCTCCCGAGACAAGTGAGGGTGAGGACAGTGGGGAAGCCGCCCTCCCCCCAGGCCTGGGGCGGCCGCAGGGGCCTGCAGGCTTGGAGCCTGCCTGCAGCAGCAGCCCTGAGGAAGATGAGGATGCGTTCAAGTACGTCAGGGAGATATTCTTCAGCTAAGGGACAGGTTCCCAGGACGCTACGGCCGCAACAGCTACCGGACGCTGGGCTTTGGCTCTGCCTGGGGACTGCTCCCAGCTCCATACCCCTGGGTGGAGCCAGAAGCCCTGACACTCGGCCTTGGGAAGTGAGGGATCCGAATGAACTGCCATCAGAATTCCTCTCTGCATTGTCCTCCCCGGCACAGGGGTCTGCAGTCCCCATGTCTGTGTATTCAGTGACCAGGCTCCAGGGAAAATGAGGTCACAGTGTCAGACTTATTGGCACCAAAGAATCAATTTAATAACTTTCAAACAAAGTATGGCTGCTAAATACACCAGAATTGTCCAGTTTAGGCAGCACCATCTCTCCGTGAGGAGGAAGCCCAATTTACAGTTTCCCTCACAGGCAGCCAGGCAATCCCTGAGCCGCCCTCTTAGCCCTGAAGACATTTTGCCCACAGTGCTCTGCTCTGTCTGGGAGCTTAGCGCTCCCGGGGTACCTTTGGTCCAAGCCTTCTACCCATCAGACAGGCCTCCTCTCCCGAGCTGCCCCCTTCCTTCTACTTGGCGGCCTTGGCTTTGATCCCTGGCCACTCTGAAAGTGCGAGTGGGACAGGCTCCCAAAGTGGACGCTAAGGGCAAGAGGTCAGGGCCGAGTCCACATTGCCTCTGGAGTCAGTGTGGCTTTTGGCAGGCAGAGTGAGGCAACCATGGTTATACAGTTTTTCAATATACAGTGCTGAAAAGTAAATTCCCCCTGCACAAGTGGTGCTTGTATCCTTTCTAGGTCTAGCTTGAGCAGTGAAGGGACGCAGCGTTTGTGGAACCATTCAGTCCTGTTCACCCTCCCCGCCCCCCGGATTCGGCATGCTGTGCTCTCGGACGCCCAGGTCCCATGTTAGGAATGGCGTGCCACCTCATCCCCTGCTGTCCGGCTTGGAGCCAGCAGCCCAGGGGAAGTTGAGGGACTCCCTCTGAGATCCCCTGTGCCTTTGGGAGTGGTGTCATGGGGAGGGTGGGAAAGGGGGAAGCTTGCTAACCAGGGCCCCGGGGACACAGGTGCTCTCAGTGTTCCCCGTCTGTCGCCATGAACCTTCCCTGGGTCTCAGTTTGGCCTTTGGCCGATCATCCTGGAAATCTGGCCCTGGGACAGGAACCCTTCTCTGGCCACCATCCTGAGAATGAAGAATGGTTTGCTCAGATCAGTCAGTGAAACAGGAATTCTCATGACAAGGAGCTACGTGGTGTTAGCAGTCCCAAAGGCAGACAAGCCAACACTAAGAAGCCCAGGGCCGTCACCCTCACAGCCCCGGCCTCCTTTATGCCGGTGCCCCTTCCTCAGTGGGGCCATCTGCTCAAGCTTGAGATCAGTATTAGCTATGAAGCAGGGTGGCTGCGAAAACACCAGCCCACGAGGCCTCTGGCGCCTGTCTGAGCCTCCTTCAAGCAGCCTGGGAGCCTCTGGACAGGGCTAGCAGCTCTCCAGCTTGCTCTTGTCATCTGCCCTTTGGGGGAACATGACTGTGGTCATCAGCAAGAGGACCAGCAAGGCCTGGGCAGCGGCCAGAGCTAGGAATCCAGGCCCCAGGAGGGAGGGCGTGACCCACTTCCAGGTGTAGGTGAGGAAGAGGCCCAGGCCCCCGGCCAGCAGCATGGAGGCCATCGCCAGGAAGCACACAGCCAGATGCCACTCGCCCTCGCTCCTGTTGCAGCGGGCCAGGAGCAGAGGCAGCGGGACAAAGAGGGTGAGCACCAGGGCCCCGTACACGCCGAGCCTGGCCAGGGCCAGGGCGCCCTGAGGCAGCCCCAGGGCCTCCAGCTCAGGGAACTGGTGGCACTGCAGGCAGCTCGCGCTCTCGTTCCACAGGCAGAAGTTGTAGAAGCCGATTCTCAGGTTGGGCAGGTTGATGAGGTCACCCGCCTTCCAGAGGAGAGCGTAGAACAGCAGGAAGATGGCCAGGACCACGAGGACCACGATGCCCAGGAACAGCAGCTGGTCGCCCCGCCTGGGTCTGGGGAGGCTCATCTTTTGTTCTCGGCAGGGCCACCCTCCTGGGAACCTGAGGGAAGTCACATCAGTGAGTGTCCAGCTCTCCCTTTCTCCCAGTTTCTTCACAAGCTCATGCTCTCCCTTCTGGAATTCCATAAAAACCTGTGGCAAACTCCCACCCTCTCCCACTCCACCGCCTCCAAGGAATGTGAGGTGACTTGTCGCCAGGACAGGCTCTCCAGGCAGCTCTGCGTGCCTCAGACATGCAGCGTGCACACCACAAGCCCCTGAAGACACCTGTGAGGTTTCTCAGACCCCTTGCCCAGGGCGAGGGGCAAGGCTGTTACTGGGGCTTGAAGGAAGAGGCAGAAGCTAAGGGTCCTGGCGACCCCCTAGGACCAGAAGGGAGCTGTAAGGATGACCATCACTGGGCCGCAAGCCAGTTACCTCAGAACTGGGGTTGGGGCAGGCGCTGGTGTTCTCGCAGCTCTGCTGCTCCTGGCTGAGCGGGTGAGGACCACCAGAGTCCCTGTCTGCTCCGGCAACACGTTCCTGGGCCAAGACGAGATGCCGCCTGGTGAGGAAATCACATCATTTTAGAACAACTACAGTATTTTTTTTCCTGACAACACTAATATACGTTGATTATTTTTTTGAAATCTTGAAAAATATTTAAAAGGAAAATATATAAAAACAACCTTTTTCCCACCACATACGATAGAACCACTGTTAACCAATATTCAGTATTTGTAAATAATCATACCATTAAGCATAATGCTTTTCTTACTGAATATTAGACACATTTTTCAAAGCTGTTTAATATTCTTCAAAAACATAGTCAATGGCTGTATGGTAGTTCATGTCACAGATTTACCCATTACACTATTATTGGACAAATAGTTTTCATTTTTCACCTTTATAATTGATAGTCAAGGTAAGTGCTAACTATGTAACAGTGCAATTATTGTGTCAAGGGGAGAATCCTTTTTAGTGGTTTTATTGCATATTGCCAAACTGACAAAAAACTTGCCTAACCCTCCCCACCATTTTTGAAAAAATCCTTTCACTACATTTTAAATCAGTAGAACTTTTCCCAATCGGCATCTAAAATAGTCTGCCCTCTGTATGTAATTTTTCCAATACGGGACAGAACAGCCCTTCACACAGTGAAGTGCCCAGGAACCAGTGCTGGACGCCAGGCGAGACAGGATGCTGAAGCCAGAATCCTGTCGGTCCCCCAGCCAGGAGAGCCAAGTGGCATTCAGCAGTGAAGTGAGCGGTGGCCACTGGTGGCCCTGGGGAGAGGCCCCGAGACACAGGCCTGGAGATGAACTTCTGAAGGGACCCTCGGGAGTAGTCCCTCTACTAGAGTGGACTGGAGGGTCCTGACCACACCCCACATCTGCTCTGCAAGAGCTGAAGGAGCAAATGGAAAAGAACAGTCTGAAGGGACAGGATGTGGGACAGGCAGAGGGAGAGGCGGCATCTTAGTCCCTTCGGCTGCTGTAACAGAAATGCCATAGAAACTTATTCCTCACAGTTCTGGAGGCTGGATGTCCAAGCACAGGTGCCTGCAGACTCCGAGTCTGGTGCAGCCCACTTCCTGGTCCTCGGTGAAGGGCAAGGGAGCTAGCTCTCTGGGGCCTTTTTATAACAATCCCGTTCCTGAGGGCTCCACCCTCATGACCTAATCTTCTCCCTAAGGCTCCACCTAGTATCACGATGGAGATCAGGTTTCAACATATGGGGGCGGGGAGGGCACAAACATGCAGTCTGGCAGGTGGCTCCATTCAAAGGACCTGAGTGAATGCAAATAATGAGAATAAAGATTTATCAGTGACTCCCAGGCAGAGACTCAGGGATATTGCCTGGGGGTGAGGCAGGTGCCTGTTAGGACGGGAACCTAAACCTAATCACACAGGGAAGGCTCGCCTCCATGCTGCCACCACCTGACCACGGTCTTCTGCCCATGGCACCTGCGAGCTGGGCCGGGAGCTCTGAGCTGGGGGTGAGGGCCAGCTCAGCGGAGCCCGGGGAGCTGCCCCTGCAGCCACTGATCCTCCGTTCCTGGAGGCCTGAATTGGTGAATCCGAGAAGCTGGAGGCCCCGTTTGAAGGTGGTTGGGAGAGTCCTGCAGCTATGGCGCCTGCTACAGATTTATCAGGAATGAAAATGGTGTCTTTAGTCCATACTTTATCAGATTGAGATAATAGGAGTTTTAGCCAGTTAGGGCCCATCGGGGAGAAATTCCCAGCGGGACATATTTTGCATATTTAACACATGCTTGCATAAGCCTCTGTCTGCATGTTTGGTGACGGTAGGCCTTTCATGGTGGAAAGTAGATTTCTAGGCCTGGAACCCCGATTTCTGTCATTGTGCTGCAGGAAGTAAGGTTTGACTTGCCTCCCGTGTCCAGAAACCAACAGGCTGGGACTTGCCTTTGTATAAATGCTCCTTATTTCTCCTATATCGAGTCTGTTACATTTGGGTTCCAAAGAAGTCACCATTAAACTTCTTGAAAACACGGCTCCCTCGAGAAAGATCATGGGACTTCTCGGGAGGAGACTGTCAGCCGCCTCCCAGCAGCTCCTCCAGCCCTTTGTTTCTGACTTCCTGTTTTTCTCGCATCTGACCTTTTGGAGTTTTCAATAGAGTGAAACAAAATAAAAGCTAAGCAGCCCCAGATTGTGTGGAGAAGGTGCAGGGTCTCTGGTTCCCTTTATTCTTCTGGCCTCCCCATGTGTGAGGAGTTGAGTCCCAGCTCGGGGGCCTGGGTCTCCACCGTCAGGCCTGACTTAGAACTTGGACTTGGAATTCTCTAGTGAGGCCCTGCTCCCTTGGGTCTTCCACTCTTGCTTTGCTTAATCCAGCGTCTCTCAGGCTGTCCTCCTTCCCGTCTGCCCAACTCCTAAAGTTCCGCCCTGTTTTCTGTTCCTCTAAACCAGTGGTTCTCAACCTTCCTAATGCCGAGACCCTTTCATACAGTTCCTCATGTTGTGGTGACCCCCAATTTCATTGTTACAAATTGAACATAATTAAAGCATAGTGATTAATCACAAAAACAATATGTAATTTATATGTGTTTTCCGATGGTGACCCCTGTGAAAGGGTCGTTCAACCCCCAAAGGGGTCGCGACCCACAGGTTGAGAACCGCTGCTCTAAACCCTACAAATTCCCCCAGCTTCCCGGGACTATCCTAGCCACTCTGAGCCAGCCCAGAGCTAGAACGTATGCTGTGATCTCTCCCAGGGACGACTTTCCTCTGTCTTCCATGTTCTCCCCAGCATGGTGCTGATACACAGGAGGAACTCGCTTTGTCCTTTCACGTACATATCTTAATATGCACCTATCTTAACAAGACACCTTGAGGGGAGGGGCCGTGTTCTATGTCACACACACTCAACACCGTGCTGGGATGGCCCTACACGCTTCCTCTTGGAAATATGGACAGACTTCGGGAGCTTGTGGACAGAGAGGTTGGAGGCTCATCCTGGCTTCCTTTTCTAAACCTTTCACAGTCGATGGACATTTGGTTGGGAAACCCCATGGCACCCTTCTCCTCGACTGTCCTAGGAGCCTACCCTGTTGTTTGTTTGTTTTGGCTTTTAAGAATCATGTAATCATAGTTATCACGCTCTCACAACTATGAGCCTTTTAATTCCCTTTAATGATAAGCGGGTGCTTCCTTCAGAGGGCAAAGGGGAGGCTGCTGAATCATTGTTGCCATTTTTAGGTGAATTGTTTTCCGTTTTAAATAAAGTACATACTTGCTGATGGTAGATGACTAGAAATGTGGAAGTCTGATCCATAACCTCAGGGCGTAGAAATGACCACTTTTAACAACACATTTCCTTCTGGAACGCTGTTTTGCAGAGTTGAGTTTACATTAAGTACATCTGTTTATGTCTCCCTTTGTAAATATCTTTATAGCATGAATATTTCCTTACATCACTAGAAATGTCCCCTACATGATATTTCGAATGACTGCATAGCAGTTGAACATTTAAAGTTTTTATAGATTATGTTTTATAACATTACTTTGTAATATTATAATGTTTTGGTGAATATATTTGTGGATCAATTTATCCTTTGTGAACAAAAACTGGACTATGCAATACACCTGACAAGCTTGGGCTGGAGGCACCTGGCAGGCCTGACAAGCTCTGTGACCCAAAGTAGCCTCACAGGATGGCCTGGTCACAAATTCCTAGCGCGGCAGGTCATGCAGCCAATCACTTCCAGGCCTACAGCTTCCTTAGCGAGTCAATCTTTACCTCAGGTGAACTCTGTTCTTATGCATCTAGGATGACCTTCCCAATGTCAGAGGGATTCCCTTTTCCAGGCCCCTCGAAGGCACACGCCCACACCAGAGCACAAGGCCACAGCATCCCTTCTTAGCTTGCTCCTTGCATGCCAGCTGTGTGTGCGGGAAATGTTAATTATTAGCGAACCTGTACCCGCCAATGGAAAAGAAATGTGTGTTTCTCCATTTTGTCTTTTATCCAAAACCAGGGATTTTCCTGCTTTGCTCTCTCCCACCTGCCTCCTTAATCTACCACCAATGGATTTTATGTCCCTTTTTACGTCTCCTCCTTTGATTCTAATGTATAAAATACACTGCAAAACTGCCATTCTCTGGAGCATTTGAGATCTTGTTTTCTGGCATAGATAGTCACTTTGGCTCAAATAGACTGATAAAATTCTCTACAGATTTGAACACTTCTTCCGTGGACACCTTCCACCAGCAGCTGGGAGAATGCTGATTCTCTCATCGCCCCCAGTGTTGGGCATTCTCCAGTCTTTTCATCTTTGATAATGACCAGTGACATAGCATCGTCACCGTTTCTCTTTCATGAGTCAAGCTCCACATTTTCCAAGTGTCGTTTGATGACCTATAGTTTTTTCTCGTGACGTGCTCTCAGTTCCTCTGTGTGTCTTTTTCTTATTATCATTTCGAGTTTTGGTTTTGCTTCTCAGCCCGTATGAGCCCCTTTATAAATAAAGGCTGCTAGCCCTTTGCCGTCGTCATTGTTACACTAAAGCACAACCCTTTGCTGCACCAGGGCCCCTGGGCCAAGACACAGATTGAGACTCCACATCAGTGTGTTCCGACTTGACCATTGTTACTTGTGAGTCCCAGTTTGGGAAGCAGAAGGCAAAGATTCTCAGCCTATTCAGCTGAGGCAGGTTGTCTGTTGTTGTTTTTCATTTAAGCATTTCTAAAATGTTCATGCTGACGGGATGGTGACTGAGACACACACTTCACATCCTATTCTTGGCAGTTTCATATTAAAAGAGTGAGATGTTCATGAGGCTGTGTCTGAGGGAGGATTACAATTCTGGCAGAAATGGCATTGAAAACCCCTCTGGCTGTCCATCACACTAAGTAACAGCCCCAGGCTGCCCAGCCCCGGTGCAGGGCGCCAGCAGGCAGCGTGCAGGCCCGGCCTGTGTGAGTAGGAACTGCCACGGAGGTGCCCGGGGCTGGGAGGAGCACTCTCAGGGCTGGGAGCAGGAAGAACCTGTCAGCGGGAACCCTTGCTGGTTTATTTAAGATTCCGCGTGCCGCTTGC